AAGTGAGGATGTCTGACGTGCTGCCAGTTAACTTTGACTTTGGAGCAAAGTGTGGACAGTGGGCACAAATTACTCCTCCCCCCCTCCGACCTGAGTAGTGACCAGTCACGATAGTAACAGTTCTCGAAACCCACCAGAAACCTTGTTTGAGAATCTCTTTCTCGCGGACCGCTGGTGATCACCAAAAGGGAGTGGTATCGACAGCGCATGCACCGAAATAGAGGAGCTTGGAGGGTCGAAGAACGCTCTCTCAACGAAGGCATGACGATCGACGACGATTGTGCGACACGTAACCTCACTTCACATTAGGTTAATGTTATGTCAGCAGCGCTTTAAACCCTCCATTGTCAGACGAACCCAAACCAAGTGATGGCACGCGGCGGTTGAGTGCTACTAACACTGAGCGAATGGAGATTAAGGCCGGCCGAATGGTGAACAGCAAGCTCATTGGTTCCCTGTCCATGGGTGACTTATGCTCAGCCCTCCACCAGCCATTGGCCGATCGCCTTTGCCTTTAGTACAACTCACTTTTCATGTCTCGCAGTCATGACGGCATTATTTTCACTAATCTGAGTGTGTTTTATAACTGCGTTTTTAGGAATCTGCAATTTCTGCAGATTACCGGTACCCGCCGTCGAAAGGTTTCTCCACGTTTTCTCCCATTTCTCCTAGCTACATCGGTTTAGAGGTAGCGATGTCACTGAATTAAGACATTTCCATCTGCTTCGCACGGGTCCAATATTTTGCATGGGAAAAATTGCGGTAACAAGGCGTGTTTTTCTGTCTTCCGACAGAACTCACCCCTTCCTCCGGTCGTGGACGGACAAAGATGCAGCCGAGGAGTTGAAGGCCCGCCATAATTCCACCAACTATGTAGAGACACTTTGGCACACGTTGTAACATCGTCTCGTCGTCAAACATTCTGCGTAATCAAGCGAAAGAGAAATTTTTTGAGACGCATTTTTTTTTTCGATGTTGTCTAATCTCTTTAGGACAGCTTTTCGCATCAAAGTACAAGTCGACCACTTCGTAGTTGTGGTGAAGGGAAAATTGTTTTGCGGTCATTGTGATGGCAGAAGTATTGTTGCATTGTGAACCCACTTCGTCAGAATCAGAGGAAAGGCGCTGGAGGCTCGAGTGGACACCACCATCGGATGGCCGTAGGCACCACCGCCTTCCACCCTCATGTGTCAATGCCAAACGGCTACGCAACCTCACATAAGCCAGCAGCCTCCTGGAGAGGCGGATGGGAGGGACTCGAACAAAAGCATCAGTAAATTTGAAAT